GGAAAGGAAAGGAAAGGAAAGGAAAGGAAAGGAAAGGAAAGGAAAGGAAAGGAAAGGAAAGGAAAGGAAAGGATACCAGGTTGAGTACATAAGAGAATGCCAAAATTTGAAGGTAACTGACTGGTCATATCCTGGCTCCGTCCAGAGATATATTCCCTTTGGATGACCAGACTTGCTCTGCATCTTTACGTGAACCATCTTGATTTACCATTCCTGGATTCATGCCCAGCCTGATGCTTTCCTTTCCACATTTTTCTGAGTTTTGGCCTAGGATGCCCAGCATTTTTTTTAAAGGTATCCCTCCCCCCGAAAAAAACATATAAACCACAAATCAAAAGGCCTCTTGTATGCTTAAAATGGGTCCATTTGAAGATGAAACCTGGACAAAAATGTGTATTTTGTGGAACAGGGGAAATCTAAATTGAAAGTCATGGGAATGTTTGGGTATGTTTCAATTGCAGAACGACAGGGAAACAGGTTGATACAGGCTTATGGATCAGCATATGTAAAACTGACATGGGCTACAGATAAAACCAGTCTTATCTACCTGAACTCTAGAGCTCCATCCAGGGAAACTGATCAACAGTTTTGACTATTTAGTCAACGTTGTTCAGTGTTATTTATTCAAGTGATGCTTCCTCTTGGGTCTTGGGCCAAGATCTTCCCACCAATTAATATTTATTCCTTTATTATTTCAATGGATATCCAACCTCTCTGCCCCCAAGACTCTTTTAGTATCTGTTTTTATAATAATATATTTTTTTGAAAGGGATGGATCCGGGGACCATCTTCATACCAAACATGCTTGCTACGTTGAATTACAATTGGAGCCAACGGTCCTTGGCCCTCCTTGCAGCCATTGGAGTGACCTTCCCAGAATTCCACCCCCCATCCCAGAATTTCACCTCCCCAAGAAAACCACAGAACAAATAGAAGTGACCTTTGCTCGCCTGGGAAAGGAAGGCGGGAGCCTAAGGAGAAAAATCTGCAATTGTCTTTGTTAGGTGGGCTAAAACAACCTTGAGTGGCCTGCGAATAGAACTGAACTCAATCTGCTTGGGGAAAAAAAACCACCAGCCAACCAACCCTTTACTCACACACAAAAGAAGGGCGAAAATAAATCAATAATGCATGAAACCTTGCATTGTTGTCTCTCTTTGAAGATGGCCACACTGCTACCAAGCCAGCATCGAAGGCGCTCGCTATTAACCCACCCGAAGGTCATGGCCGGAGCAGCTGAAACAAAGCCGCTGGGAAAATGGCATGCGAGAACTGTTTTCTGATCTTGGCTGTTAGTGGGCTATGCGTAATTAATAACTGAAGTAGAAAACTATTGAAATTCTCCCGCCCCCACTGGCAAGCGTCTGTGTCAGTTGCCGTACCGGGGCCCTTGTGCAATAGAAAGGAAATCTCTCGCCCAGCTGAATTACAAAAAAAAACAGTAGATGTAACAACACTTATTTGCTTGCAGGGTAACCAGCTCACGATGACATCTATGTGTGCAAATCCCTCTGAATTCCTGGCTTCTTCCTTCCAAGTTCGTTACCAAAATAATTTTGCTTCTGATTGATTGACTGATTGATTACATGCCATCAAGTCGTTGTTGACTCTTAGTGATCACATAGATAGATTTTCTCCATGATGATCTGTCCCCAGCCTGGTCCTTCAGGTCTTCCAATGTTGCACCCATTGCCACTGTAACTAAATCCATTCTCCTTGCTGCTGGTCATCCTCTTCTTCTCTTTCCTTCCACCTTTCCCCGCATGAGAGCCTTCTCCAGAAAGCTGGGTCTTCACATAATATGTCTGAAGCAGGACAGTTTGAGCCTGGTCATTCATGCCTTGTGTGAGAACTCTGGGTTGATTCGTTCAGTGATCCATTGCTTTGGGGGTTTTTGGCTGTCCATGGTCTTCTCAGGAGTCTTCTCCAACACCAAGGTTCAAAAGCGTCAATGCTCTTCCTCTCCCGCTTCTTCAAAGTCCAACTTTCGCTTCCATGGAGTGTCACAGGGAATACCATAGCTTGCATGACTCTGATCTTCTTTGCTTCTAGACATGCAAATAGGACAGGTGTAGCATGGAGTCTGGAGCAATGGCTACTGTTGATATTTAAAGTATTTGCAGGCAGCTTGTCATCCAAACTGCTCCTGCCATGGTACAACCAGCCAGAAAACCAAGTAAAATAACATCTGCTCTCAAGGAAGGTCCCAGAAAAAGGACATCAAAGCCATAAAGAGCAAACCTCACTTGCTGTGCTGGAGAAGAACGTTTTTTTGGTCGAAAAGCTGTAGAATCTCAGAATGTTCTCTTCCCTTCCATCTTCATTTCCAAAGAAGGGGGAGGTCCCTAGCTGAAGAATATTGCATGGTGATTTGCATACAAGGACCCAAAATGCAATCTATGGCATTGACAATGAAAGAGAACACAGATAACAGGTGCAGGACAATGCTCAGCTCTGTCGCAAGTCCTAGAGGGCTACCATCAATTGAAATAGATGGACTAGATCATGGTTCCATCAGGTGCATTCACCAAAGCAAGGGTAGAAACCCTCTCCCTATGTTTAGGTTCCACCCTTTCCTCCACCAAACAGCCTACCCTATATCTCTGACACCACAAAAGAAGTCCATTCCCCCAAGTAAAGAGGAGGAACATTGCTGCCTGTTTGTTGCAAATGGCAGCAAAGCTCTAGTAATTTTAGTCTCCTTCGCTGGAAGGAGAAAGAAGCAAAAAAGAGAGAGCCTTGTCTCTCCTCCCACCATAGACCGGTGCCCAACAAACTTGCCGATCAGCTTTAAGTGAACTCCAGCATTCCCAGGGAGAAAAAGGGCATTGTGTGAAGCCCAACAATGTGCAGACTGGCTTAAGGACACCACATTATCTGGTACAGCCGCTTCTGTTTAGACCACGGGTGCACACCACCGTTTTTGGGCTCATGTATGTTCTGGAATTATGGGCCACACGTGGGCAGGGCAATTCGTGCCCAAAGAAAATAGCAGGCATGTTCTGAATATCAAGTGTGCACGTCCAGATCTTTTGACCTGACTGGCAAACACCACCCCCAACAGCTCTTTCTGCAGCCCAAATTCATCTCTGAAGGTTTTCTGAGCAGAACCTCTTTTGAACCGAGGAGAGGGAAGGGGCATGTAAAAAGTGTTGAGAAAGGAGCAAGCTAGGGGGACATTTCTAGACTTCAGTGGAGAACTTGTGAACCGTCTGCAGATCTAAAAGAGTTTGGGTTGGAAACGTGCTCCCTTGTCCAGGCCATCAAATTGCTGTAACTGAAACAAAGACAAAGTCTCATGTCTTTGAATTGGACAGAGCTGGTAGGATATAGCACGTCTAGCCCTGAGCTCCCTCATCATCTTAAGAAAGCAGGAAAGCCCTTGCTACCGTAATACTGGCCTTTGCTCTCCCCTAAATTAATGAAAGCCCCCCCAAGCTTTGAACGCAATAAGCAAAGGTGCATCTTTTGGCACGCCAAATTCCCAGGACGACCCACTGAAGTATTACATATATTGCACTTAATATTACCTTGTCAGTCAGGAAGCAATAATGCATTAATGAAAGCCGGCAAATAATTACTACGGACAATCCAATTATGGCTTTATTAACAGTTTCATAATTGCAGAATCTCTATACGTCAAGCAGATTGTCCGTGGATATATAAGAAATCGGGGCGTTTATGCACACCTCCGGACCCATCCAGCAATGGCCGCTACTAATAAAGGCTTGTTTAATTCACAGTAAAATTTTAATATCCCCACAGCCTAGGGAAGGCAGATTTGCTTGACATCAGATTGTTTCCACCCTGCCAGTCCCACTAGTTCTTAATCTTTAATATCAAGGCAATTAAAATTAATGGCCACTCATCCAAAGCCACTGTGGGCAGTGTTGTCTGCCATGCATTGTTTGACGAGATTACCTAGAGGTTAAACTAACAAGCAAGGTTTAATTGGAAGCAATGAAAGGCGCAGTGGATCGTACATTATGTTTAACCTGCCCAACGCAACCCGAGGAATATCAAAGTCAGGACTGGCTTCCTCCCATCTACAAACATTAAATAAAATAAACACACACACATACAAATCCATGATTTTTGGATTCCAGGGTCTCCTTCCAAGCAGCCCTTATTCCCTGAACGAAATTCAGGAGGCCGCCGAATTCGGCAGCCCGAGTCAGGAATTGATGTCTTCTTGCTGTGCGCGAGAAGGTCTGGAAAAGCCACCCGCTCTGCACGCGGTGTGCAATTTCGGTGGGTCAACTATCATCAAAGCCATGGCTAACTCCATAATAGAGTTCATTCCTTTTCGTTGCTGCCTCCGAACACACCCAGGCATTGCCTTGGAGGCCCAGCTGAAAACAACAAAAGGATTTAGAGCCACATCTTTTTATACCCCCCAAGCCACTGGTGTCCTCTTGGAAGCAAACAAATAAAATCTGTATGGATGTTGGACAGCAGGACACATGTGACCGTGCCAGACAACACCTATGGACACTCCAAATGAAATATTAAACTTAAAATGGCCCTAAATTTCACAAGATGGCATTTAAAAAACCCCGAAAACAAAGAATGGAGCTTCTGCCTCCTTAAATGTGTATTTCTCTTGCAAGGGTGG